AAAGTTTTATGAAACAAGTAAAAAAAAAAAAAAAGGAATGAAAAAGGAACTTGGAAAAAATAGAAACAACCAGAACAGAAGAAAATTTACCACCACCACTCTTCCATTCAAATCTTTAGAGACCTAAAAGATTGCATCGGCTGGGCTCAGTGGCTCAGCCTGTAATCCCAGCACTTTGGGAGGCCGAGATTAGTAGATTGCCTGAGCCCGCGGGTTCGAGACCTGCCTGGGCAACTTGGCGAGACCTCATCTCTACAATAAATCAAAAATCAGCTGAGTGTGGTAGCATGCGCCTATAGTTCCAGCTACTTGGAAGGCTGAGGTGGAAGGATCGGCAGAGCCCAGCGGGTCAAGGCTGTGGTGGCCGGGAGCGGCCACTGCACTCCAGTCTGGGCGATAGAGTGAGACTTCAACTCAAAAAAAAAAAAAAAAAAAAAGACCAGCCCGGGCAAATTGGTGAGACCTTGTCTCTACAATAAATCAAAAAATTAGCTAGGCATGGTGACATACACCTGTAGTTCCAACTACTTGGTAGATTGAGGCAGAAGAGTTGCCTGAACTCTGCAGGTCTAGGCTGTGGTGAGCCATGATTGTGCCACTGCACTCCAGCCTGGGCAACAGGGTGAGACTCCAACTTAAAAAAAAAAAAAAAAAAAAGAAACAGTCAAATAATATAAGTTGTGAATTTTTGTGGCTAGGAGATAGCTAAAGAAAATAACTAAAAGGATTTGAAAAGTAAACTAGAGAACTCTTAAGTAAAATCAGAAAAACAAAGAGATTACTGGGGGCAATGGCTTATACCTGTAATCCCAGGACCTTAGTGTAGGCCAAGGTAGGCAGATTGCTTGAGCCCAGGAATTTGAGACCAGTCTGGGTAATATAGTGAGACCTCATCTCAAAAAAAAAAAAAAAAAATCAAAAAATTAGCTGGGCGTGTTGGCACGTACCTGTAGTCCCAGCTAAGGAGACTGAAGTGGGAGGATTGCTTGAGCCCAGGAGTTGGAGGCTGTGGCGAGATGTGATCATTCAACTGCACTGTAGCCTGGACAAACAAAGTGAGATCCCGATCCAAAATAATAATGAAAATAGAATAAAGTTTAGAAAATTAGCAGATTGATTAGGATCGATCGTAGATTGTACCAAGAGAAAAGAAAGGAAATGGAGGATGGGAAATCTCAAGAAAATACCGCAGCATCGGTAGATGTGAATTTCCAGATTGAAAGTGCCATAGAAATCACAGCTATTAATTTTTTGAGTCAGAGTCTCACTCTGTCACCTGGCTGCTTGAGTAGCTGAGACTACAGGTGTGTTCCCCCACAAGCCAGCTTATTTTCTTATTTTTTTGTAGAGACAAGATCTCACTATGTTGCCCATGCTAAACTCGAGCTTTTGGGCTTCATCAGTCCTTACGCCTCAGCCTCCCAAAGTGCTAGAATTATGGGTATGAGCCATCATGCCTGGCCAAAGTACAACTATTATATATCCATGAAAATTAAAAATAAACATTTTTTAATGTATCCTAAAGACCCCCTATAAATAAAAGAAAAAGAGACCAGTGCTAAGATACATCATTGTGAAATTTTGTACTACCAAGGAATAAAGACAAGATTTTATTTCCACAGAGAGGAAAAACAGCAGGCATAGAGAAGAAAATAAAGGATTAGGGGAAAGAATGCATAGAAACCTTCTCAATAGAAGCCTGAATCAGCAGCATTGGAATTGGGAAGACTTTGTGTTGTGGGGGAAAATGATTTGATTTTTTTTGAGTGAGTCAGAGTCTCACTCTGTCATCTAAGCTGGAATGCATTGGCATGCCTATGGCCACCACATCCTCGACCTGCTGGGCTCAGGCAATCCTTCCACCTCAGCCTTCCAAATAGCTGGAACTACAGGCTAATGTTTTGATTTATTGTAGAGCCAAGGTCTCGCCAAGTTGCCTAGACTGGTCTCGAACCCATGGGCTCAGACAATTCTCTTGCCTCTGCCTCCCAAAGTGCTGGCATTACAGGCTTGAGCCACCGTGCCCAGCATAGAAAAGTTTTTTTTTGTTTTTTTTTTTTTGAGTT